CCCGACGCTATGAACATCGGGTGCAAACACTTACACAAATATAAAGATTTAGTATCAAGCTTAAAAAATAACACTTGTGTTCATATGATATAAGTAACATGAACACAATGGTTCATGATTCATAAAAGTCGGTAATATGACAATATGAAAATGAGTCGTGCATGTACTTCCATTTGAACATGTGAATTAGGTAAGTATTAATAGTTAAAAAAAGTTATCAATGCAATATGAACTACAAAAAATACAACACATCATAATAAACATAATTTCAATTAAAACGAGTCTAATAAAATATTAATTCATTACCAAGACATTCACTTTGGTTAATTTCTTCACTTCCCGAACTCGAAATCYGATTGTCACCATAAACCATTTTAATCTTCTCAATGTTTTCGATTTTTTTTCTAATTCGTTTATCCATAATAGCTTGAACGATACCGAAGATTTTACTACCGTATTTCCTCCACAAATCAAAAACTTATTAAACAATAAAAATGGAAGATCAAGATTAAAAAAAAAATATCAATATTATAAATGTATATTTTTAGGGATTTTATGATTTTGTAACTCCCCTTTAATGGTATGGGAGTTATATAGGAAATGAAATTACTCAATTACCCTTGACATTAAATTGTGAACATGATAGTAACCTAATAGAAGAATGGATTGTGATTGGTTGACATGGTTTGCAAAGTTAATACAAAAACTTTGGTTAACATTTGATCTTGTCTATATATATATATATATATATATACATACTAGGGGTGGGAATGTGTCAGGTTGGATTGGGTACAAGTTCAACCAATTTATTAAACAGGTTGTAAATCTCAACCCAACTCAACCAGTTTAATTAAATGAGTTGAGATTTTTCAACCCAACCCAAACTGTTACCTAAATTGGTTGACAACAGGTTGACCTATTTATTATTTTTTCAACCTAACATGTTAAATAAATGAGTTGAACATGAGTTGACCCATTTAATTTTCAAATTTTAAATAAAATAAAAAAGATTAGACTATTTAATTTTATGACAAATGTAAATAAATTGTCCAAAGTTTGAATCAAATACAACCACAGATGCAAATAAATTGTTCAAATATCATTCGAAACCTTTAATTTTTAAGTAACTCGACTTCCACTTTCACCAACTCCAATTTCACTCTCGGTATTACTTTTCTCTTGATCCTTTATTTTCTCTGTCATAATTGCTCCACATAACGCCCCAAGATGTGATTCTATTTGTGATATAGAAATAAATAAATTAACTTAGTTATAGCAAATATATGGTTTTATACTATAATACATTATATTCAAATAAGAGGGAGAGATGAGAGGGAGATTGTTGGAGATTTGGAGTGTTGTATCATAGGCGGACATGATCAATTGATTATTTGGGTTTCACTTCCACAAATGAGTGGGAGAGACAAGTTGAAAATAAATATTAAATATAAAATAAAGTTATATAATATTTTAAATGAGTTGAAAACGGGTTAAAAACAAGTTGTAATTAGGTCGAAAGTTTCAACCCAACCTATTTAAATAAATGAATTATATGAGTTGATCCATTCACCTAAATGATTAAAAAATTTCAACCAAAAGCTGATAATTTTGGGTTCGATTGACACCTGACCGGTAGGGTCGAAGGTCAATCTGAATGGACGGGTCACTTTTTGTTAGCCCTGATACAGTAATACATTCATTTCAATTATCCGAACCGGAACTCCAAGTTTCAAACCCGAACACCGGTGCCCGTTACATGGCAAAAGTGGGTCGTTGTCTGCTTGGTGGTGGTTAGCCTCCCTCCATTATGTGGAGTTGATAGAGCAGGGAAGAATGGCCAGTAATCACAAGTCCTAAAAGCCATGGCCACTTTTTCTTCTCCTTCTTCCTTCCCGCCATTATTTTGCTGTGATCATCATAAGCCGTTAGGGTTTCCGATTTCGTATCATTTTCGTCACATTCAACGTCGTAGTCATCATCATTGCAGCAAGACATCAATTCAGTTATCCCCAACTACACCACTAGGTGTAACCAGATTCAGATGCTTCTCGTCTCAAGGACAGCAGCAGCCTTCTGAAGAAAAGCCGAGATTGGAAGAAGACTCTGAAGATTTTGAATTCGAGAGGCTTTTCTCTAACCTTAATCGAGCTACTCTCAAACGGGAACCTGGTATTTAATTTTATATACATTGTTAATTCATCATCTCTCCACAAAGTGTAAGGCAACAAACTGTCAATTTCATGTTGTGCCCTTTCTCTTTTTTTACGACTTACAGATTGTTATCCAATGCTCTGCAGGAAGCGTCACTAGTTCCGTTCTTCTGGTTGCTGGCACCACTGTAATCCCTCTCTTCCTACTTAAATATGTTGCTGGCACCACCGTAATCCCTCTCTTCCTACTTAAATATGTTATAGTTTAACACACATGAATAAATGTTCAAATGACCATTCTGGCGGCTCCGCCATGATGGCAGACAAAATGAACGTATATTGGGCCTTTCAAATTTTCATGTAATGCATCTTTTTAGAGAGATTGTTGGATAAACCTGGATGGATAGAAAACTTGAAAAAGAAAAAAAAAATTATTGCTGAAGATGTAATTTTGGACTTTGCATCAAAAGGCAAGTCAGTCAGAAATTCGATTGTGTGTGTAATCTATTAGAATAGTAAGCTACCATTCAATCAGATTTATTATGCCAAGGCATCATAATTCACGAGGAAATTGACATACAAGGACATTCAGTTTGAAGAACAAGTGGGGAATGATGTGAGTACCTTGTGGCGAAGAAGAAATTCGACTGAAAGTGCGCACTTCTCTTTTATTCAAGCAAATCGACCATTAAATCTATTAAACTAGGCTGCTTCTTACCATATTATTTTCTTACTTTGACCTTCTATTTTCTGCATGAAGCAGTTGCTTATTGCAAGTTTTGCTAAAGCAATTCGGAAAACTAAAATTGCTTTTAGTTTGACAAAATGAGTATCAATGGAAGTGAATGCCTTTATTTACTAGATGAAACAAGGAGTTCCTTTTTTCCACAGGATATGCTCAAAAGAACTAAATAAGTCATTCGCCTACTGTCCTAGCCTTTTACTTTTTGTTTTAGCTGTTAATAATTCATTTGATTTTCTTTTGTACTTAACTAGCTCTTGGTTGTTAATATCAACACACACATAGAATTGCAGAGTTGATTTGCTACACTTGATTGTGTGCTATCTTTTCTCTATGATTGAGAAACTAACTTTGTGGTATGGATGTAAATTGTCTGAATAGGTAGGAGCAGGAATTCTTGCTATTCCTGCAGTGACTCAGGAAGCTGGATTTTTGGCGGCTGCGATCACTTGCATTCTTTGTTGGATTTATATGGTACTTCTCTTTCATGATTGCTTCATGAATATATTTATTTGCTCCCTGGTTTTGTTGCTTTTTTCTTAAGTTACGTTTTCTTGTCAAATTAAGAAAGTGTAATTTAAGACATAAGAGATTCAACATTTTGTGTCATTTATTTTGGGATGTCCCAGAAAGGAATTTGTTGCATTTATTTTGGGATGGAGAGAGTATTAATACAGAAAGTTTGTCTATAAGATGACACAAAAACCAGAAATATTGATGGGTACAATGTGTTTAGCATACTAGTCTATCTGACACTGTCCTTGGGTGTTGCCTGGGTGGTAGGATAGTGTGCATCCGGAAAGGATGTCCCGTCAAAACCGGGTAACACCATGATGGCCGTGGGACCGGTGCGGTGGGGGCACTCCAGAAGGTGGCATAGACTCAGTTTTAGTCTTTTTGATACTGGTCAATATATGGTGCTAAGTTTTCAATCATACAACATTGCAAAATTACTCTCCTGCAGGTTGTGACTGGGTTGCTAGTAGCTGAAGTAAATGTAAAGACAATGTGCGAACTGGGTTCTGGTGGTGTATCATTGGTAATTTCAACAATTCTTTGCTAGAAGTTAATCCTAATCGATTCCTTGATAGAGATGCATGATATTGTATCCAATGGTTATTGTATCTTCAAGTCCACCATGTAGGTGCAATGTGGATCCATTTTTAAAGGAAAATTTCGAAGTGGTTGCACATAATTAATAGCATCATATAAAAATAGAAATTAATTATAAAAAGTACGGTTTTGTCAAAAGTGATAAACAAATTACCCCCTACAATTGATCGCTATGGCTCTTCATCTTTTGAAGTATGTTAATTATATTCTCGCTCATGGTATTGACAAACATCTTTTTTCTATGGCACAAATGAGCGAAGCATTTAAAAATTCATCGCAAAATTAATTAACATAAATATAAACAACTTAATCCTAAACATGATATTACCATAAATGTAAACAAATTAACCCTAAAAAGTTAGCATCAAATATACTAATTCACCCTTAAAAGTTAACCTTAATATAAACAAACTAACCCTACTTATAAATGTGAACATATTAGCCTTAAATATTTACAGAAATAAATTTTAATATATAAGAGTTAGGGTTAAGATACCACAAGACTCAATCTCAAATCCATCAGAAAAAAAAGAAGTGGTTGCACACACAAAATTAAGTGGTTGCATTATTAAGTAACTTTAAGATATTTACACTACGTCCGACCAAATCAGCAGTATCCTGGGATACCACATCCATAAGGGTGCATTTGAACCTGTATAGGTGCACTGCTAGCATGTATTTGGGAATAGTGGAAGATATGCAAGGGTGGGTATGGTCTTTTCAATCTGTGACTGTCATTTAACGAGTGAGTGATTGATTGAATATGAGAGAAGAAGCTTAAGTTTTTTTTACCACATGGTACTTGTCATTGAGAAATGTTGATTATTTGAAATCTAAGTTGTTAATTCCATTTTACAATTGAGAATGGTCAGACTTATCATACTACTCCGATAATGACAAACTGATTAGGCTGATAATACATTGGCTTGCGCTTCAGGTATTCATACTGATCTGGTTTGAAATGTTTCCACTTAATGTGCCAAGAAAAGGATTAAATACTTTGACTAGTTTGGCAATGACATCATTCTCTTGACTTTGACCAGCCAAACACGTATGCAAATACCACTTACTGGGCTTGAATATCTCACCTCAAGATTACTTGGCTATGTTTTGTGCCATTGGGCCGAAGGTCTCGTGATGACAGTAGGAATATGTTTTTCATTTCATAACTCTTGCATGTTTATTTTTCAGGTATCAATGGCTACGAGAACACTTGGGACTATTGGAGTTCAGATTACTTGGTAAGATGATCTGACTAAGTTAATAAGGGTACATAGTTCTAACAACATATTTTCTTAATTGCCTCTGAAGTGTCTCTGAGAAAAGATTTGTGCTGAGATTGTGGTTCTTGGATATGTTCATTGCTTTATTGTTATAACAAGAGTCCTAATCCTAGTATGATATGGTTTATCTTTATCTTATCAGCATATTTATGATACATCTCTATAGTGGGAGGGTTTTCTCTATAAAAGGTAGAGATAAATGTTCTTAAAATATATTTGTATCATGGTATTTGAGCCTAAAAGCCCTTGGTACAACTAGTAATAGCAGAAACTCTTGTATGCACCTAGCTGTCATCTTCAAACCCTAAAACCACCTAGTCATCATCCTACCACCATGTGACCCTTGAAGCAAAACCTTAATTCGGTAGATCAAACTGGTCCATTGTCTCTGACATCTTTTGCATGCTACTGTTGTAAAAGGCTGACTCAACAGACTTAACCCCATTGATTTGCTGAATGTGTTCATATTGTCTAAGTCAGTTGCTTGATTTCCTAAGTCTCTGAGCACTAATCTCTGTTTGTTTCTGGTTAAAACTGAGGATGCAATTTTCTTTGTTGTCTGCGTTGCTGCTTGCTATTGTAGGGTCAGTCGTAGTTTCAATGTCGTATAACAACAATGTGATTTACAGTCCCAAACAAATATCAGTAAACCACAGTCCACACTGACCCGATACAACAAATGCGGATTAACAAGATTTAAGTATTGTATATTGTAGTCCAATCAATTATACAGATCCACAAACTTCAATACAACAGTAATAACATATATACAACCAAATAACAAAGATGCACGTAAAATCGAGACGACGAGATTTAACGTGGTTCCACTATCAGGGTTGTAGTGTACGTCCACAGGGAGAGAGATCGATTTATTACTAAATGGGAGAGATTACAATGTGTTTACAAAATCCTTCGATCAAAAAATCAGCTACCCAAAATTTCCCAAAACAAAGTTTCTAAATCTGAAAACTAACTCAAATATGTAAAGGAATCATGTGGAAAAAACTTGCTCCAACAAACCCAAAGGCCGAAGCATTTTTATACCGACCAGATGGGCAGGGCGGCTCACAGTGTATTAGACAATTAAGTGTGATATATATATATATATAATTATATTAGAGGGTCTAGAGTGTAAATGTATCTCTTATATATATCCCTGATTGTAATCGGTATACACACACACAATTACCAAGTTTATCTTGGTATCAGAGCCGCAGCCGGCCCTAAACGCCCTACAGCTGCTGCCCTGCCGCTGCTGCCCTACCGCTGCCGTCTCCCTACCGCTGCCATCACAAGGCAACCCTAAAGCTACCGCACCCGTCTTCTACCCTACGGCTGCCTCACCTTCTGTCCAATGACAACTGTTGCAGCTTTCACTCCAACCGAGAAAACCACCCATAACTCCCACAAGTTTGGCTTCACTTTATCACCAAACAACTATGGCTATTGGAAGACAATGGTTCAACCATTCCTTGTCACAAACAACTTGTTCGGCTATGTTGATGGCACCATTCCTTGTCCACCGATGACTATCTCATCATCATCATCATCTGGAAAAGATGCCGACAGCACCACAGTGCCCCTACCACAACCGAATCCTAACTACACAGCATGGGTTTCCAATGATGCTCATGTACGGATGCTGATTATTTCTACAATCTCTGAGGCGTCGTTCCAACACGTTCAAGGACTTACCTCCCATGATCTTTGGCTGTCTCTTGAACGTGCTTACGCTCCTCACACATCATCTAGGGAATACACCCTAAAAACTCAGCTTCTTAAACTAGAGACGAAGCCTGCTGAAACCTCCTCCGCATACCTGACTAGGGCTGAAGAATATGCTGATGCTCTCGCCAATATAGGCGAACCAATGAAAGAAAAAGATTTGGTGATGTTGGTTATCTCGGGTCTTAGAGAAGAATACAACAGGCTAAAGTCAACACTCCTTGGTCGCCAATTCCCAACTTTCTTTAGAACTTCATGGCCTGCCATCAGACCATGACTACATGATCAAGAAATCTGCAACTGACATCTCTCCACCTCAAGCATTCTCGACTGTCACGAACAACCGCAACTCAGCGGTTCCTGGTGCCACCTCGTCTACTCCTCAACCGGATCAACTTCAAGCTATTCAACAGCTTCTGTCACAACTTGGTCTTCAAGTTCAGCCTGTTAATGCACAGCCTGCACATGCCTTTTACACCAACAGGTCTAGGAATAACCGTGGCCATGGACGTGATTCTAGACGCGGACGAGGAAACTACAACAACAGAAGTCAAGGAGGAGGTAACCGTAATCAATTTAGTTGGGCTTCTAATCAAAACACTGTTTTTGGCACTTGCAACTGCAACAGGTGTGGGATTGGTCATATCCCGTCTCATTGCCCCAATCGAGACCCTGCTCCTATGATTACGAGACAACCACCTTCTGCCAACTTTACAAATTACCGGTCACAAGCTTGGCTCCATCATGTTGCATCGGACCTATCTAGCTTCGATAACTCTGAGGCCTACTACGGTGAGCACAACCTTCATGTTGGCAATGGTAAGGGTTTACCCATTCTACACATTGGTTCCTCACAACTTCATTCACCAAACAAAACATTTTCCCTTAAAGACATACTACACGTACCTGACATAAAACAGAACTTAGTTTCTGTTCAAAAATTCTGTTTTGATAACCATGTGTACTTTGAATTTCACTCTACTTTCTTTGCTGTGAAGGACAAGTTCACACACACTATCCTCCTCACTGGTCTAAGTAATGGTGGTCTCTACTCCTTCCGTCCTCCTCAGCCTCAGCCTGTTCAGAAAATGTCGTTTTCTACCACACGTGCCTCTTCCACTACATGGCACCAAAGACTTGGACATCCACATCCACAACTTTTGAAGTCCATGTTATCTAAATATCATTTACCTTTACAAAATAAGTGTGCTAGTACTTTTTGTGATTCATGTTCTGTTGGCAAATCGTCTTAACTTCATTTGTTACCATCTACTTATAAAAGTTTGCACATTTTGGATTTGGTTTTCTGTGATGTATGGGGACCCGTTCCTGTTCCTTCTTTTGATGGTCACAATTATTTTTTGCTGTGTGTTGATCATTATTCCATATTTATGTGGATCTTTCCATTAAAACTAAAATTTGATGTTTATGCCCCTTTTAAACGATTCCTTGCGATGGTTGAAAGACATTTTCAAACCAAACTGAAATCTGTCCAAACCGACTGGGGAGGCGAGTTTCGGAATCTC